GCTATGGCATCACAGCTCACAGCAACCTCAAATACTTGGGCTTAAGTGATTCTCTTGTCTCAGGTTCCCAAGTAGCTGGGACTACAAGCACCCGCCACAATGCCCGGCTATTTTTTTGTTGCAGTTACCATCATTGTTTAGCTGGCCCAGGCCAGGTTCAAACTTGCCAGCCTCCATGCATGTGGCCAGTGCTGTAACTACTGTCGTAGGTGTGCCAAGCCTATCCATGTATTTTAAATACCTGTTTTGTTTTCATAGTATACTATCAATTCAGGAAAGTTTATATCTGTCATATTGTTAAGTCACTGTTTGGCTATCTATTTTAGTCTTATTATGGAAAATATAGCTGTTTACTCATTTTTATTTTATCTTAATTTTGGAGAGAGAGTCTTGATCTCTAGCCCAGACTGAAGTACAGTGGCACAATCATAGTTCACTGTATCCTCAGACTCTGGGGCATTAGCTGCAATTCCAGAGCTCTGCAGTCATATGTGGCTAGTGGCTGTTAGAGTGGACAGTACAGACACAGAACATTTTTATGTCACATAAAGTTTTGCTGGCAGCACTGGTCTAGATTGCTATGGTTCCTGTGAGCTCTTTGATAGTCTATGGTCCACTATTTCAAAGAATGTTTTCAAATTTCCTTATCTTTTTTTTAAGATAGAATCTCACTCTGTTGCCCCAGCCAGATTCCATTAGTATAATAGCTCACAGCAACCTCAAACTCCTGGGCTCAGGTGATCAGTCTCCTGAGTAGCTGGGACCACAGGTATATATCATGTACTTGCCTGATTTTTCAAATAAATTTTTTTGTGGAGATAAGGTCCTGTTGTGTCATCAAATTAGTCTCAAAGTCCTGGCTTCAAGTAGTGTTCTCATCTTGCCCTTCCAATGTGTGGGGAATATAGGTATGAGCATCAGGCCCTGCCAAAAATATAAACTGTTTATTTGAGACAGAGTCTGGCTATGTCACCCTCAGTAGAGTGCTGTGGCGTTGCAGTTCACAGCAACCTCAAAGTCTTGTGGTTAACATTTAAAAGCAGAGTGGGCCGGGCGGCACCTGTGGCTCAAAGGAGTGGGGCACCGGCCCCATGTACCAGAGGTGACGGGTTCAAACCTGGCCCTGGCCAAA